CTTGAAAGTTAGTTGTTGAAAGTCCAAGGCCTGCCCGACAGTACTACCCAGGTGTCAATCCTTTGCGCTGGCCTGCTAATTTAAGGTATGACCGTTAAAAATCCATATCTCAGAAACAGATCTGGTGATCGGCTTCCATAAAAACTACAACCAAGAAAACCCTCTGAGGCCGATTTACTCCCGAACACATGGGGTCCGCGTGGATCGGAACTGATGGCAGCAACAACAAATCTGTATGGTGGGCAACAGCTATCAACTCAGTATTCTCAAACCAAGCTCACTCTGACTCACAGCAACCCTACAGGATAAGGTACACTGCCCCTGTGCGCCTCCAGGACTGAAATTCTATAGAAGCAGAAAACCTCATCCTCCTCCCACTGAGTGGCTGATGGTTTGAACCGCTGACCTTGCAGTGAGCAGCGCAATGGGTAACCTCGACACCACCAGAGCTCCATCAATTCTTCATGCAAGCTACCAATTCACTAAACAAGCGACTGGGCTGACTGCAGGCAGCAGCAAGCTTCACGGGCGCTTCATACCTTTGGACACATTTAGGGGAATGTTTCTGAAACAGCCTGGTATATTTCTCCAGAGGGACCCCCTGAGCTAGTAAATTTTCAAAAGATAACCTCTACAAGTTGCAGATAATCAAAGAGGGAGCCAGGGAAGCCCTCTTTGTTCAGAGGCACAGCTATACAAGAAGTTGCAGAACCTGGAAATTAAAGATGGAGAAATTTCCAGGTAGTTACCAATAACACTGAGGCAGAAACAGCACTTTCTGTGAGAGTACTTTCGGGAAGCAAATGTAAGACCCTAAGGAAAGCTAGAGGGAAGGGTTAGGTAGCTAGCACAGGGACTGGGGTGTCCATTGTGCATGCTCAGAGGTTAGAGCGTCTGACCAGGAAGGGGTGGTACACCTGGATTGGCCCATCTAGACCAGGTGAATTTGATTCAGCCAAAGGGGTCAACCAGTTATCATCGACCATGCATCCCAACAGAGGCCCTGAAAAGCCAGAAGTTTTTCTCTCTCACTGTTTCTCCCAGAGACTGACACACAGTTCAGCATGGCCCGGCCGCAGTCCCACGTATTTCTGTCGCTTCTAACCTTTATAAAACTCACTTGGATCACAAACCAGGCTTCGTTGTGAATTCTTTCTCGTGCAAAGCCAAAAACCGAGTATATTTCTCCCACAAGAGAGACCTAACATATGGTGCTGAGACTC